GAGTATAATGTTTTGTAATGAATCTTTGCAAATCGCCTTTCCTAATAATGTGCTAATTAGCAAGTTTCACGATGAATGCGGCTAAAGTAAACAGTCTCTCTGAGAGCAGCTCAGAAGAGAGGGGCGGGGTCAGCAGAGCTCATTAACATTTAAAGGACAATGCTACAAAAACGGCTTGATCTGAAAAGAGCTTTGACAGGGTAAAAAAGGTGTGCACTGGTTTTACACTACCATTGAGAAATTTTAACCAAACTATGTTACAGACTTTTCATTAAGACCCCAAAGAATCATATCAACCTTGTAGTTTTATTGCCAAACCAATCTAAAAGAACAAATGGTTTGTGAATCATCCCTAGAAACAGCATTGTGTTTTAGGCCTCTTAAGAGCCAGAAACTAATGAATGAATGCATGATGGCAAAGTCATGAATGACAGTCATTGGTTTCCTAAAGCTGCAGCTGAGGACACGGCTTGACCCTCGGCCAGAGAGCCTTTACGTAACATTATGTAACCTGGCTGAGATTCCTCTGATTGACACTGAGTTAATGACAGAACCATTTCCAGCCTGTCAAAATATCATGCTGCTGTGTGACAGACAGAAAGAAAACTAGCAGAAAAGTACATCGCTGGTATCGTGATACCAGCCATATTCATGTACCATCGTATTTACTTTAAATGTGCAAAGAAAGACGTATTTTAAGACGTCGGATATTCCATTTCCTTTGCTAAAAAATGTAATTACACATTTAAAGAGGATATATTTTAATAGTAAAAGACTATCAGAATGCTACAGTAAAAAATTATTGGTTAACTTGAAGTTCCCTTTCTCTGTACAATGAAAAACTGCAAAAGAACTAATGGGACATTTCATGTAATTTTACACTAAAATACTGTTAAATTAGTATTTGGAAGTGAAAAGGAATGTCATCTTATAGTTTCTTAGGTTTTTTCTAATTACTCATATACATTAGGTGTTTTTGTTACAACTTATGTTGTTAAATTCATGTTTATTAGATTATTTTAGTGTTGTGTGTTGGTGTTTTGTATTTGTGTGTATAATGTGCACCTTAAATATATTAGTGTTTTCCTCAGCTTGTGAAAAAGCTACTTTTCAATGATCACATGACTTTCTTTTTGTTTGTTTTTTTGGTGGTTGTGTTATATACAGGTACAAACAGATTTTTGTATGTCAATAGTTCAATATATATTTTATAATAATATAATATCATTATGATATTATTTAATGTAATATCATTAAATTATTATTATTATTATTATTATTATGGTACTCTGAAATATGTTTTTATTTTATTCTCTTTTATTTTGTTCTATATTTGATTAAAATATCAATAATAAATCTAAAATAAAATAAATAAATAAAAATACTTTTACTGTGAATTTACTGTAAAGTTAAATCCACTAAATACAGTTGAATATATTTTATAATAGTATATTTAATATCATTATGATATTATTTATTATAATAACATTAAATATAAAAAATAATAAATATTGTTATTGTTGTTGTTGTACATTATGGGACTTATTCAA